ATGTCTAAATTTAAATGTAAAAATTACATATAAATGTTGCAGCTAAATGTTGAAAATTTCATTTAAGTATTTCAGAAAGTAACACAACCTTTGCTGTTGATGCGCAACTTTTGTTGTGACATCATCATCCTGTGACAAAATGCTAACCTTGCTAACGCTGCTGAAAATGGCATTTAAATTTTAAATTCAAACTGTGTTATTTGAAAACCGTATGGATGGTGCCTGCAGTTCGGCAGTTTGACGTGCAGCTCTGACACCGGCCGCAACTGTGAGCTTGATGTCTTGTAGCAAAGCGTTAGCGGCATTAGCGCGGTTAGCTTTGCTTATGTCTCAGGATGATGATGTCATAACAAAAGCCACGCAGCAAAGACAAAGGCTGTGTTACAGTACAAAAATCTTAAACATTAGCTTTATTATTTAGCTGCAGGATTTATGATTTATCTTTTACATTTAGATTCAGGGTTTAACATTTAAACGTAACATTTATGGTAATCTTTTGTCTTACGTCAATTCTGTGAAGTTCTCACAGATTGTTCTTGTGTTTAGTTTCTCCAGGAAAGCAACACAGTTGTGATTCATTCGGGGAATTGTTTTGAAATCATCTTTTAGATAGTTTATCAAAACATTTAATATGAAAAAAAACAACTTTAAATATTTTAGAGCCGAGATGTAAAACATGGACTAAGRTCAGAGATGAACAGAACTCCTCTGCAGTTTATTGTGGATTTGAGAAAAGCAACAAGCCGTTGAAGATGATGTGTTTTTCTTGTCTGTCTCTTCTGTCGGATTCTGTCTGCTGGTCGCGGAAGGACTCAAGCCAGACATTGTCTCCGGCAGCCAGCTGCAGGACGGCTCCACCCGACAGCACCTGGAACACATCGGAGCGTTATCATCAGAGTTGTAAAGTAACTAAGTACAAATACTTTTTTACTGCACTTAAGTAGAAATTTTGGTTATCTGTACTTTACTGGAGTATTTTTTTTAACTTTTACTCCTTACATTTTTACACAGTTATCTGTATTTTCTACTCCTTACATTTTTTAAAAAAGCTATGAAGTAGAAAGTCATTTCTCCTATTTTGTTAGTGATAAAAAAAAATACTATCCTAAAAAGTTGTGCATCCAGGGTAGAGTGAATTTAATTGTGTTTATGTATACCATTCTGATATTGTATTAGTTTGTACATAAACCATCACAGCTGCATGTTTTTAGGAAAAAAAATGTTTTTGGAGAGGTCACCTCCCAATAAATGTATTTTGGAAAATCTAACTGCGCATTTTTACTCAATATTTTACTTTTAATACTTAGGTATTAGGGGTGCAACAATACATGTACCCGTATCGAACCATTCAATACAGTTCTTTAAGTTTAATACAYTATGTATCAAACAATACAGATTTTTAAAAAATATTTTATCAGCTTGTCTTCTGAAGATGCTCTGTGTTGAAGGATCTGTGTTCGACTACTCCACCTAGGCTGCATTGTGGAGCACAGATCCACTGAGAAACTTGCTGTTTAATTAAAAAACTCTACTTTTGAGGTTAAACAAATGTTCATATTCTTAGAGACTTTAACTTTTACCAAAGTAATTTCATGATAATATACTTGTACTTTTACTCAAGTATTACTTTGAGGTACTTTGTAAGCAGTGTTTAATATTATTGTTGTTGTTGATGTTGTTGTTGACACTCACCTGCTCGTAGCGCCTGTCTCTGTTGTAATCACAGAACACCAGCTTGTCGTCGCCGAGGGAGTTGCTGCTCAAACCCAGGCACATGCTGACCTGCGGACACACACACACACACACCCGAGCACATTTTCATTCATCTCCTTTCCTCAGGGCTCACAGCGGCAGACAGGTGTGCTTTATACCTTCGCAATGGAGTGGAAGGTGAAATAGTAGACCCCAGCTACCCGGCAGACGAAGATTCCCGTGTTCGCTATCAAATCACCGGGTTTGTTGACCACCACGGTCTGGTAGGTTATTTTCTAAAACAAACAACGARAAATAATCAAAAACAGCWAAARAACTATAAACCAGAAGTGAATAAAAGCAGCCGTGTGTAAATAAAACCATCTGAAAAATTTAAAATCAGGTAAACGTCACTTTTCTTTTACTGGAAACCTTATTTTTTATTCTAAYAGGATGCAGAAACGAGACATTTGGGACAGATGCTGCTGGACCGAACCTGGCCGAAGACCGGGTAGCTGCTGTCGTTCCTGATGACAGAAAAAGCCGAATATTGAACTTCTTGATTCGAGCTAGCCTGTCCTAAAATAAAACAAACAGAACAAACAGACATCTTACTGTTGAAAGTATCAGTTTGCTGCCAGGACTTTACTTCAGCTCATATTTTAGCTTATAGCTGCTGTCTTACAGATTTAGCTTCTATGTAATGATAAGTTTTAGCTTTTAATGTAGCTACTGTTCTCATAACTTAAGCTTATTGTCTGTGGTCTAATAATTTTAGCTTCTTGGAACTTTARCTTTCAGCGTTWGTTTGTTTTTTTTGATAATCTTTGGCTAATTTCACCTTTTAGCTGCTAGTTAGCTTATTTTAGCTTTAGTTTAAAATTTGCTGTTTGCTAAATGTGGCTTGCAGTAGTTCTTTTGCTCATTTTATATTTTAGCTTATGCAATAGTTTTTTTCCACTTTCAATGCTTTTCTTCAGATTTTAGCTACTGGTTTGCTCATTTTAGCTTATGCTTTGCTAATTTTACCTTCTATCTACTTGGTTTTAGCTTTTATTGTAGCCACTGTGCTCATTATTCTAGCTGGTCTAACTGTTTTTGCTTTTCTGAACGTTTTTGCTAATTTCTGTTTTCAGCGTTCGTCTTGTAACTCTTTTAGCTAATGCTCTGCTGAGCAGGAGCAGAAAAACAGCTAAAAACTAAAGAAGCAGAGCATTTAGCAAAAAAGTCAAAAGTTAAAAGTAGCAGAACACTAGCTAAAAAGAGCAGAAGACAAAAACCAGAGGTAGGCTACAGATCTAAAAATACTTAATTTACTCATTTTATGTATGCTAAAACTTAAGCTAAAAGTAGAAAAACAGTTATATATCTGCATAGTTTTTAAAAAATACACAGTTTCCTAATTTTAATTTATGCTTTGCTAATTTTAGCTTCTATCTACTTGGTTTTAGCTATAAATGTAACTACTATTCTCATAATTTTAGCTAACGGAGACTTACAGTATATAGCTAATTTCAGCTTTCAGCATTCGTCTTGTAAATCTTTTAGCTAATGTTAATTCCAGCTTTTAGCTACTTGTTTGCTTGTTTTAGTTTTAGCTAATGTTTTAATCATTTTAAACTTTTCTAAGTTGAAGATTTTAGCTTTTCTATTTTTTTTTTGCTTAGTTTAGTTTTTGTAATGCTATTTTTTTTGCTTTTAGCTGTTTTTCTAATTTTAGTTATGAGCTAATGTTTTGGTAATTGCATCTTTTACTTAATATTCTGTTAATTTTAGTGTTTTACCTACTGCTTTGCTAATTTTAGCTTTTTGATACAGCTTTATTAATCTTAGCTTTTAGCTGCTGTATTTGTTTTTAAGTCAGTTTAGCTCATTTTAGCTTTTACTTCATCTGAAAGAACAGTAAACATCAAACTGTGTTTACCGGCGCCGGTGTTCTTCCCTGTTGGACCAGGTGGACCAGGCTTTCCAACGGGACCAGTTGCTCCTAATTGACCCTGATAACCTTTAACCCCCATGTCCCCTGGGGGGCCTGGATTCCCCAGGTCCCCTTTGAGTCTCAACAGGGTGATCGGATCCACCGGACCTTGGATCATCACAGCTGGAGACAAGAACATATTTTACAGTTATTTCAAACTGTTTGTCTGTAAGCAAAATATCATGACCCACTGGACGGGTTCTAACCTGGATCTCCCTTCTCTCCCTTCAGTCCAGGCAGTCCGTCTCTTCCAGCAGTCCCAGCCTGTCCTGGTTGTCCGTCTGTCCCCTTACAGCCCACATCACAGCAGACGTTCAGCAGTAACGAGGCCACGCCGAGCAGWACGGCAAGGTTCTGATGAGCTCCCATGGTCCAAAACTCTGGAGGTTCAAATTAAAAACACAGCTGATAGAGGACAGGATTATGCAAAACATTAATTTAGAAAAGAAGTTTAAATATGCAAAATTTATAAAAGATTTTTTAATAAGATTTAAATTTAATTTCAAAAACACAAATCTGGAAAAAAAAACTATTTCAGCTGCTGAAAGTTGTTCTAAAACAGAAATTAATGAC